GGATCGGAGTGAGCAGCTCAACATTACCTCAGGCTCTGAGACATAAAATAATTAAAGCTGCTGAGTTTTTGATATAAAAAATTGTGAGATCTTCATCTGTTTTCATGATGCAAATGAGGACATTTGATGTAATTTACAGACAATCAGTACAAGGTGACAACATTAATGTGTTGAAAGTGAACTTATTTTAGGATTTTCACAGTTTTATCTTAACATTTTTCTGACAATATTCTTGAACATAAAATCAGAGGCAGTGATTGGTCCATGCAGGTGTTTTTCTAACTACATCATCCAGCATCAGCTTTGCGACACAGCCGCAAATGAAGAGTAATTCTAAGAAGTTTGATAAATACGGGCCTTGATAAATAAACTAAATCATGACAATATTGACAAACGGATCCATAATATTAATGACAAAACCGATTTTTTCTGACAAACTGAACCTGAATAACAGAAATAGTTTGACAAAATTGGGTTATTTTCCATGGACAAACAATTTAAAATAGACTTCTGCAGGATTCAAAGTAATAAACCAGAAAACAAACATATCTGATTAACAATCCCACAGATGTAATATTACATTATTTTTCCATTTTACTATAGTTACACTCTTATCATTTCTGCTGATAATAGTCAATTACAAAGAAAACATCACCTTGTGTGAGAAAGAGGAAAAATGGAGGTGTACACAGCTCTACAACAAAAAAATTGTGATTATTTTTTATAGTTAAAAAAATCTAAATGATCCCTGTGCTGACATTTTAATATCTTTTTAGATTCCTTAGCATGTTTAGCATGGCTAACAGTTACAGGGTTTTCTGTGTCAGTTCAYAAAGCTTCACAACACGCTTCTAACCTTTAATGTCCTGAAACAGAGGTTGAAACCTACTTGAGCCGAGAGTGGAAGTTTTCCACATATAATGTTTTCCCTTACATAAATACATTATCTCAAAATATCTATGAGTGCTTTCTCAAGATAATGAGGTCACTTCCCAATGGTTTYCTCAAAATAACGAGTTGTCTGGTGCCCGTGGAAACAGCCTGGTTCCCTCAGCTGGTCCGTTGATCACTGTGTAAACGCCTGCTGAGCTGCAGTCAGGCCAGTTGTCTCCTTAAATGATGAGGGCTGATCTGAAAATTATCTGTACAAGACAAACAAWCTAAAACTTCAGTCTGAGATCAATGTCAGATTCTCCCCGATATGACATTTTCAGTTTGAGTTGGTTTTAAAAACACTACAAAACTAAGCAGTCAAGAAAAAATAATCACGTCGTTATCTCAAAAAAATGGTCATCGTTATTTTGTGATAATGACATAATTAACTTGTTATCTCTAGAAAACCATGGGAAAAATTCTATGCAGGAAATGTTTGGTCTTGGCTTCCGTGGAAATCAAAAGAAGAAAACACAAAAACTTTTTTTTGTCCTTCAACTAACTGTTGTTTGCTGGAGCCTAGTTGCTCTCAAAGAACAGCAAATATTTCTCTTTGGAAAATGCAGTTTCCTTTTACCAGCTCCTCAAACTTCTGTTTGTCCTCTGAATTGTTTTTTATTTTTATTTTATTTTTTTTTTTTGCCACTTCAGTAGAAAGCAGAACTGAATTTCAGAATATTGGTATCTTAGCTCCTTCATCATCAGTGGCTTGTTTTTCCTTTTTTTAATAGGAGAGTAAGAAAGAGAAAGAAAAAAGTGAAATGTAATGAGAGAGTGAAAGAGAGATTAGAAGATATGTGAAATATATGTTGAGAAAACACAAGACAGCACACCCAACTTATTGGCTCCACAYCTACAGAAACAAAGATAGCAAAACCACAGCAACAAAAATGCATATCTATATAATTATAATGACTATAGCCTTGCTGAAAACCATACCCATATACATATATAAATTTATATATCTACACATAAATATACCCATACCTACATATCCAAACACTTTCATATATATATACAGTATAAACACATACACATGCATATACATGCACATATACATACATACACACATACACATATGCACATACCCTTCAGTCAGTGCCCGAATAGAAAACCCAGGATGTGAACACCTGTTTGTGTRCAGTTGTGAKCATGCATGGATCTCTCCAATGGAATGTTTCAAAGTGACTGTGGGGGACCACAGATGAGACCCGCAAAGCAGGTAGCCGACATAAGGGAGACCAGGGCCAAAGACCCCAAGAGGGACCCCAAGCACGCAGCCCCAGAGACACCCGCGCCGGAAGGGCCGCCCGCCCATCCCCCTAAGAGGACCACCGGAGAGAGCCGGAAGAGCCCCACCAGCGACCACATACAGCAAACCCTGGGGGCAGCAGCGACGAACTCACAGGCCCCACCGGTACTCACCGCGCCAGAGTGGATCCAGGCATGGACACAGAGGCCCGGGCCCCCAGGCCGCATCCCCCCTCCAGGCCAAGGCCCGAAAGGACCAGAGGGACCCCTGTCCCACCAGGCAGCCACCGGGCCGAGCCGGCACACGCCCAAGCACCCAGCCCCGGACAACGAGAGCCACCAGCGCGCTGGCGGGCAAAGGCACAACCCACCAGAGGACAGCATGGCAGGGGAGCAGTGGGCCCTCAAATGAACCCGAAGAAGAAGGGGCCGCCCAAGTCCCAGCCTGACAAAAATACAAGCATACATAAACACACTCATACAGTCCCACCCTCATCCTCACACCCACTCATTCAAAGACACACAAGATGGACGCCACAATCCACTCACACTCCCCATACATACTCTATACTCCCCCAGGTCCAGGATATGCTCCCACCCCCTGCAGAGGGCAGCTCACACCCGAACCCAGGAGGTCGACCCCTTCAGTCTGGGGTGGAGAAGAGCAGACAGCCAAGTCCCAGCCCGGGCTGCACCAGTCCAACCAACCAGCCCCCCGCCCCAGCAAAGCCATGCCCCGGACCACCCCCACACCCAACCAACGGCCAGGTGCCCACTCCCAACCGACCATCCCCCAGACTCCGGTAGCCACCCCAGCCAGCGAACAAGCCCCAGCAACCAGGAGCCAGACTGCGGGAGCCCGAACAGTCCTCTGAATTGGTTTTTAAACACCCTATAGACAGTCTATTCAACTAACATMGGTTTTCTTCAATCACTAAAAAAAATTGAATAAAATGTCCACATGGAAGTGACTGCTACAAAACAGCTCTGGTACATTCACTAACTGAAAACTGCTCAAGGCTGAACAAGCAGAAAAATATCCGCTCATCACAAACTGGTTTCTTCATGCTTCTCTAATTATTTTTGGACCAGCCTTTTGTCATCAGTTTAAGGAAATTCACAGATGTTGAATTAGGCYATGTTCACACTGCAGGCAAATGTGACCCAAATCTGATTTGTTATGACAGTCTGAAAGTGACAAATCAGATTTTTTTTCTAATCCAACCCAGGCCATTTTTAGTATGTAGTGCTGAATCAGATATATATCTGATGTTTTCAAAGCAACTGTAGTCTGAATGCTAGTGTCGCATTTCATCCAGCTTTTTCACCATTGAGGTGGAGGTGAGCAGATTGATGCAAGTAATTATGGCAATACTAACCTCGAGTCATGCAGTTTAAACCTTGTGGTTTCGCAAGTCTTCAGCTACAGAACAGAAGTCCAAATGTTTAACGTTTTTTATTTTAATTTTCCATGTCCTGGATGACTGAGAATCCACAGAAACATATGATGGTATAATGTTGTTGGACCGTATCGACTCAAAAGTTACTCAATCAATCCTTTACTTCTAGCTCATCACTTTGTTCCAAAAATAAAACGCTGCACCGGTGCATTGGTCAGAGGCAGGTTCAGATATAAACACTCAACTAAACAAGCAGGTCATGTAATTATTTAATTGACTCAAAATGCTTCAAGCATCCAGGTTTAGCTACTTGTAAACAAACAGCCGGCTGAATGTGATGTCACAATCCTTTTGTGGGCATCAGTGCCATGTAGATTTCACACTGGAGTCTGATAGAGGTTGCATTTAAAATGTAATGTGAACAAACATGCCAAAAAAATCTGATTTTTATAAGAATTTTTAATCAGAATTGAGYGTTAAATTCTGCAGTGTGTACGTAGTCTTAGTTCTGATAATTACACAAAGTATTCAGCATCTCCATAAAACTGAGTTCTGATTTTCTCTCACATTTTTCTTGTTTAGGTACTTCATCTGACAACAGCGAATACAAGGGACTAAAACAGAGCAAAATGTGATGACAACATGCTTACACAACAACATCCTCACGCCAACGTGGAACTTATTTAACTTATACTTTTAAAGATGTTTTCTCTGCAAAATTGTACTGTTTGCAGTGTTTCTACTGTATGAATAAAATGCATGAATTTAATGATGAGTTTGTCTTTGTTCGAGCACAAACAGCACATTGTCAGTTTCCAAGTTGCTCTGCAGGTCATAGGGTTCAGATGTTATCTGTCAAGTCTTTGTTCTAAATCAGTTTTGAAACATGAACTGAGAGGCRGGGCACTATCTACAGTAGTTTTTTGTAGTCCAACACTTCCCTGTTTGTCCAGTAATCAGAACCATGTACATGCTCTTTGCTTTTAGTTTCATTTCTATAGAGCTAAACTGAAACTGGTCCATTCTATACAAACAGATGGTTGGTCATTTCATTCTGTTCATCCTAACAATTTGATATAACAGTTTTTAATCTAGTCATACCAAAACCATCTTAAAACACATTAACTATGAGGATCAGTGTCTGTGTGTGCTTTTTTGTCCCTTGTCATTCATCCTTGTGTCGGTGCTACCTGCCTGTGTGGTTCTGCTCCTGCCCCACCCTACCTGTTCCTCGCTGTCTGTCCCCAGGTGTTTGTCATTCAGTTCATTGTTGTCTGCCTTTAAATCAGGGCTATTCAACTAAATTGCTCTGGGGGACACAACTATTGAAAGCCAAGAGCTCAGGGGCCGGAGAGGGGGGCATTGCCCATTAATGGTAGGTGAAACACTGCAGCATGTAACAAGTATAAGTATTATTATCTTTTACCTTTTAAATTTGATTATTTTGTTGCATTAAAACATACAATTTAAATTTACAAATTATTTGAAAAAGATTTTTATATCAAATTTTAAAAATCATACACACACACACATGGTGTTTTATCGACACAACATCGCCAGCACAGCTGATCACTTGCTGTATGAAAAAAAGAAAGATTAACATTTTAGTTAACATTTTTACAATTCATATCAATACAAAAAGCCCAGGTAAAGCCAGGCAGGCCCATGCATTAGGGGGCCCAGCCACAAAAAACACTTGTGTGTTTTTGTAAGTAGTTTGCTCTTTTGTTTTTCTTGTTTATTAAATCAATTATCTTTTCACACGTGCCTCTCAGTAGAGATGGTGAGGTGAAGCTTCATGATGCACTGAWGCTTTCCATTCAACTGATCCACACAGGAGCATCACGTGCTCTACTGCACCATCAAGTGGACAATAAATGTAAAACAGGCAGATGGATTATGAACATGAAAGGTTTGTGAATAAAAAAATATGTTTGTGTTGGATAAATTGTTTACCAAGATGTCTCAATATATGAAGAACAACAGACACAGCAGCAGATGACGTCTGAGATCTTTTCGTGCAAGGCTTTAAAGGTTTACAGACAGCACAGGCATGTATGTCATCAAAGAGATGAACCTCCATTGTTTCTCTAAAGAGGCATTTTTACTCATGTCTAGAGTGTAACTTCGTCATTATCATGAAGTCTCAGTTCTTATGAATCTGCAGATGTCTTGCAGTGTAGGTTGTATTTGGTAAGACCCCTTTCAGTTCCTGCCATCAGCCTGCAAGTTTCTTTGTAGATTAGGCTGAGTGGCTGAATGAGATGACCTTGTGCTTTACAAGAAAAAAATGATACAGTTCTTCTTTTTGATATTTTGCACAACAAATGCAGAAACCATGAAATAAACTTACAGGCCTCTTTGCCTTTTTGGCCTCTCAACAAGGATCACATTTCCAACAGTCTGTGATGACCTTAAGTGAATACTGATCAAGATCTATGATCTTCATCTGTCTTTATGAGAGAACTGGTTCAAAAGGGAAGGTGCATGGGAAAAAATGAGAGAGAGTTTTGCTGTAAGTGTGCTTGTGTGATTTTGGGACAGGGCTTATGATACTGGGGACATATCTTTATTTGTTTGTRCCATAAATTAGAAGAGAGAAATCAGAACACAGGATCCACTATACAGTTTTTTATATATTTTTTGACAGTTATTATTAAAAAAGATTTATTACTATGTACATACTGTACTGTCATTATTATTATTATTATTATTATTATTACTATTATTATTATAGGAGACAGGGGAGACTCTCCTCTTCCTTGCTAGTTCCATCGGACAAGAAGTCGATCAACTGGATAGCTTCAATACACACAATATTATTTCACATACAGGATTACACCAAAATCCCTAACCATTAATGTTAGGGGTACTTGGGAAATGTAACTGTCAATAACTTTGCTATAAACCAACCAAATTTTATAAACAAGGTATTAGCAGATTTGTATCARTTAGCTCTTTGATTTTTTTTCATTAAACAAATATGCAAACAATGATGTCATCAGTGTGTCAAAAGATCACAATACCAACAGAAGATGAAAATTTTCATCTTTTAACTTTTACCACACAAATCCTACAAATTCAAGATAGATCCACTTATTCAGAAAAAAGCCTGTTAACAATACTAGGCCAGTGGGGGTGGGGCCTCTGAAGTTAGGAACCACTGGCCTGGTGCATCCCAAATTTTTCAACAGACTTTATTTTGCCATGTAAGCTATCATTTACAATGATGACCTGGTCAATATTTTTTTACAGCATTATAGTCATTATGGTGTTGAGAACAAGTCTTACAGTAGTTTTACAACTAGTAATTATATATTTTACTTGAGTAAAAAGCTTGAATTGATACTTCTACTTTTAAAAAAGTAATTAGTATCTATACTTTTACCTGAGTATATGAGTGATGGGATTACTTTTGACACCTCTGGGGACTAATGATCCACTGGAGATTTGAGAGAAGACTCAGCCTTATAAAAGGTAGATTTCTATTTAGCTGATCTGGATGAACTGTGTCTCAGCTCTGCTAAGCACAGCACCTGTTATGACTTGAGTGCAGAGAAATGGAGCCAGGCCTAACAATAATAACTGTTAAAAAATCACAACACTGATCAAAATCACTTATATTCACCAAAGACAGCTTTCTAATCTGGGTGTGGTCCACGAGGATACAAGCTGAGGTGGGTTTGCCTCTTCAAAAAGGGGCACTGAAGAAGGGTGTGTTCCAGTTACAGGGGAATCAAACTCTTCAGCCTGTAAGGTCTATTCAGGGGTGCTGGATCAATGGTCAACCTCAGATTCAGAAGGAACAATGCAGGTTCTGTTCCTTCAGTAGAACAGACTATCTCTTTACTCATGCTAGGATCATTGGGTGCGCCGGGGCAGTCTACGTGTTTTGTGAACTTGGAAAAGTCATTTGATTTTGTTCCCTGAGCARTGTGGTTGGGGGATGGTGCTCCATGGGAATGGAGGTTTGTTACTAGAGGCTATTCAGTCCCCATACAAAGAGTGCCTTCAATTCAATTCAATTCAGTTTATTTATATAGTACCAATTCACAACATAAGTTGGCTCAGGGTTGTGTACATAAAAAAAGAATAATCTAAAGAAGAACCAGCAGATTGTGTTGAATCACTTCATCACAGTCTCCCATCCTGAGCAAACGGTGGAGAGGAAAAACTCCCTGCTAATCAGGAAGAAACCTCCAGCAGAACCAGGCTCAGGACAGGCGGCCATCTGCCTCGACCGGCTGGTTGGAGGACAGGAAAGAGACTCTCTCTCCCTCTCTACCTCCCAGAGAGAGAGAGAGAGAGAGAGAG